TGGGTAATGAAACATCTACAAGCAAACAACCAAGCTCAGAGAGCACCAAGATCACCACCAGCCACAATATGTTTGCAATTGTGCAATAAGAGAACATACCCAATATAGCTTAGTCAACAAGCCATGGTTAAAACAAGCTGTGGCTTAGCATTAAGTCATGACTGCCTTTAAACTGTATCAAATTTGTATAGTGAGATGGGCGGCATATATAAATTTGAAAAATACATACATACATACATACATACATACATACATACAGTACATCCGCTCATGCAAAATGAGATTGGTAACGCGTTGAAAGAATTACAGTGATCAAAGCATAATACTCCAACATCATCTTTATTTCCAAATCGGCGTGGACTGTTTGTATTCAACAGCCTCTTAACAGCACTGGAATAAATGACATCCCCCTTTCCTGGCTCTGACCTAGAGGCCTTTCCCTTCTGAAGGGTTGACCAGTGACTGTCTGAGCAAGAACATGGTGGAGGCACAGTTGTAGAAATCCCTCCCAGGGAAGAGCCAACAAGCCCCTTTCTTGCTGCTTTCATTTCAATACTAGATTTCTGGTATGTGATTTTGGCTGCTAAATTTTTATACCCACTGATGGTTAACTTAACCGTTAAATATGCAAACGGTATTGTTCTATCTTTGCATGTTGTTTTGATTATATGTGTAGTGAAGTGTGATATAAATAAACTTCATCATTGTAACAAACACAACTGCTGGATCCTCCGCGACACAGATGTACCCAGAATAGTTGTGCTTGCTATGGAAGACGTGCTATTAGAATATTCCAAGCAGGTTTAGCTTTAGCTTTGCAGCAGGGGTGGAGAAGCTGTGATCCTCCAGATGTTGTTGAATTATAACCCCTAGCAGCACCAGCCAGCAGGCCAGTAGTGAGAGATTCTAGGAGTTTAAGCAACAACTGGAACACCACCAATTCTCCATCTCTTGCCTTGAGAATCTACCTTGAGAGTCTCCTACAAATGGCTTCTTTCTGATGAAGAATGGGAAAGTGTCAAAACAAATAGTAGCCCCAATTCTGCATAATGCTGGTATTGATCCCTGGGAACATTCTAGAGCAGATCATAAAGAGATGATCCGTTAACTATCTTGGAAATGATGTGCTTGCTAGAAGTCGGCGAGGATTTGTTGAGAACAAGTGTTCTACCCTAGTGTATATTATGTTTTGATCACTTAATCTACTTAGTAGATTGTGGGTATGCTGTGTACTTAATACATCTTGATTTCAGAAAAAAAAAATTGACAAGGTTATTCTATGACATTCTGATTTTTTTTAAGATGGCATCCAATAAGATCCACCTCTGTATGAGCTGGATAATGGGATACCTGGATCTTTATATATTTTTGGAGTGAAGACCCTTTGGGGGGGGGATGTATGAGAGAGACTGGAGGTTGGAGGTAAGGGTAAGAGAATTTGGAAGGGAGGAGAGGAAGTGAAACGAAGAGGAGCGGCAGATAGTGAAACTCTGTAGGAAATCGTCAAGAAGCCAGAGAACTAATGTTATAGGATCTGTCACTGGAAAGCAGTGGAGGAGCAAGACATGAGCAGACGTGGAAATGGCTGGTCCCTGGACTGCTGTGGTTGCTAGGGAAGGACTCTGGAAGGCTGGGAAGATGGGGAAGGGTGGATATCACATGACGGGAAAGGTCTAAAGGCTACGCGAGGAGAAGTTATTGAATTGCAGCAGCAAAAAAGAAAACTTGGAGGACCTGGTGTGCTCAAGAAGAGGTCGGAGGAGACAGTGTGGAAGTTCATGGGTCAGTCTGGAGGCAGATGGGGTATGAGAGTCTCTGTCACTGTGTCACAAGATTAGGAAAGATGTAAGGGGCCACTGCCTGGGTGAGAGGCGGAGAGTGAAATTTGCACAACACTCCCCCCAAAAAACACACACACAGAGACGTAGGGTGTGAGTAGAACGCCGCAGGAGAGGTGGTTTGGCTTGTGAGGGAAGAGCAGTGATAATAACTAGGATGCAGATGTGTGAATGGATTTCAGGAGGAAGCAGCAGGGATCTGCGTCCTGAAAGGGCTTGACTCGTTTCTTGACAGCCACCCTGCTCAGGAGAGCTGTAGTGATGGCTTTACCCATCCCCCTACTTCATTCCCGAGCAAAAGTATCTGGCAGAAGCCTCAGTAGCATCATGCACCTCATGAAGTCATTGTCCAAATGCAGCAAATCATGTAATTTGCTTCAGGCACGTCCTGATGTCATGACATGACTAGTGTGCAACACAGTTTGCCATTTTGTGCAAACCCGTTGAGTTAATTCGGTAAACCCCAGCTCAGCTCGAGGGGGTCAGCATGCTGCATGCACAAAGCAAGTGTGCGAGAGAGCACAAGTCCAGGCTCCACCTTGGGGGCACACTCCGTGACTCCCTGCCAGGCATATCAGCACAATAGAGATGTTGGTCACATTCAAGCTTGTTGTTTTCAGCTGCTATACACAAGATACTTAACCCGGTTACTTTTAGGCAGGCATATCCATTTGCACAACATGCTAAACTTGGTTAGTGTTAACCCTGCTGGGTTTGTGGTGGGTTGGAGTTTTGTGTGAACCCGATCCAGTTTATTAGCTTACGGGTCAGTAAATTGTGCAAACTCAAAAATTGCATTAATTACCAGGCGTTGTAGCCCTAACACGGCTTTGCTGTCCAGTCCCGTCCTCTTCGCTTCTAAAGACGAGCCATTCATACAGGCGCAGAAGAGCATGCACTCTGCCCATGCTCAGGGGCACTTTATGCAAGGAAGGAACGCTCACCTCCAGATAAAAGAGGTCCTGCGTGGTGATCTGAGAATCCAGATAATCCTCGTAAGTGCTAAACTGGGTGACGATGTGATCCAAGGCAGCCCCGGCGTCGTCGCCCTCAACGCCCGCCATCCCCGAGGCCGCCCACGCTCGAGCGGAGCCGGTCTGCCGCGTCCCTAGCAACGGCCCGCCGCGTCCCTAGCAACGGCCCGCTGCCTCGCTCCTG